ATATGTGAGGCCAAGGCCAGTGGACTACCTGAGGTCAGGAGTTCGAGACTAGCCTGGCTAACATGGAGAAACCCCATCTCTACTAAAAATACAAAAATTTGCCAAGCATGGTGGTGCACGTCTGTCATCCCAGCTACTTAGGAGGCTGAGACAGGACAATTGCTTAAACCTGGGAGGTGGAGGATGCAGTGAGCTGAGATCATGCCACTGTACTCCAGCCTGGGCGACAGAATGAGACTCTGTCTCGGGAGGAAAAATAAAAAGACTTTGTGGATTCTCAAACCTTGCTGCAGTATCACAATCACCTGAGGGGTACTACAAGTTTCCCCATCAACCCCCATCTTAAACCATTACAGTTAAAGTCGAGCTTCAGGTGACTCTGACGCGCTAACCTTTGAAAGTCATCCTACTTAGAAAATCCACAAATTCCTAACATTGCAAATTGGGCTAGTTGATTCTTATTTTCTCCTCTCCTAGAAGTGGCTCTTGCTACAGCTAAAGATTTTTCTGCAGCTCAAAGGTAATTGAAGTAACAGACATTCCTCAACTGTGGAATGCTAAATGAGAATTCTTGTAATACCCCACGCTCAACACATTGTTCATGCTGTAAGAGGGCAAGGTTTGGAGGACAATACCATTAAACTGGTTTGGTTTGGAACCCAATGGGGATTGAAAATGTCAGCCAGACACTCAAAAGAGGACTGGGAAAGAAATACAGAACTACTCAGCAACTAAGCAGCAAAAGCTATACAGGACAGCAAGCGAGCAGGCAGGACTGTTGAGAACCAAATCATGGAAACCAACAGAGAACTCTCAAGGGGAAGAAAGGCCAGCTACAAACACTATGACGACCTCTAGGATGGTGGTTGGCACTACTGTTGAGGAGTTCTTTCTAGGTAATCTTTACTTTTTCTTTTAACCCTGGACACCTGCTGAGAATGAAAGTACAGGTTCCAGTAAGAGGCACAAGGACAGTAAAGGCTGGAATAAAAATGGCGAGTGTTTATTGAATGCATACTATTGAAAACTCACTCAAAGTAAGGGTCAGATACCATTTATAAAATAAGTATCATAACCCTGTTGGCTGTCAGAGAAATAAGGTTGGTCTCTCATTTTCAAAAGGGCTACTGCTGATACTTTTCTATGAGTCTATGGAGGCAAAGTTAAAGTTCCCCAGTTTGTCAGAGGGTCACTTCAAGGTTTTAAAAGACACTTTCAGGCCAGGCACGGTGGCTCATGCCTGTAATCCCAGCTCTTTGGGAGGCCAAAATGGGTGGATCACTTGAGGTAAGGAGTTCGAGAACAGCCTGGCCAGCAAAGTGAAACCCCGTCTCTACTAAAAACATGAAATTTAGCCCGGTGTGGTGGCAGACGCCTGTAGTCCTAGCTACTCAGGAGGCTGAGGCAGAAGAATTGCTTGAACCCTGGAGGTGGAGGTTGCAGTGAGCAGAGATGGCACCACTGCACTCCAGCCTGGGCGACAGAGTGAGATTCTGTCTCAAAAAAAAAAAAAAAAGATACTTTCAAGGTGATAAGAGTGCCCCAAGCAGACATGAAGGAGGAGCTGTGTCATACGGAAGTCCTTGAGAGCTTTGCACACCTATAGTAATGCACCATTTAACATTTGGTCGATGACCAAATGTAATGCACCAATTAACATTAGGTCGATGACAGACTGCATATATGTGGTGGTCTCATAAGATTATAATGAAGTTGAAAAATTCCTCTCACCTAGTGATGGGTTAATGTCATAGCCCATCACATTAGCTGGTACAAACAAATCTGTGCTGCAATTACATAAAAAGTATACCACTACAGACTGCTTTATCTATGGAGGAGACATTCTTTTGTTCCTTTACTTTCTTTTTTTTTTTTCTTTTTTGAGATGGAGTTTCACTCTTGTTGCCCAGGCTGGAGTGCAATGGCGTGATCTCGGCTCTCCACAACCTCCGTCCCCTGGGTTCAAGTGATTCTCCTGCCTCAGCCACTCAAGTAGCTGGGATTACAGTCATGCACCACCACGCCCGGCTAATTTTGTATTTTTTTTTAGTAGAGACAGGGTTCCTCCAATGTCTGTCAGGCTAGTCCGGAACTCCCGACCTCAGGTGATCCGCCCACCTCGGCCTCCCAAAGTGCTAGGATTACAGGCGTGAGCCACCGCGCCTGGCCATTGTTCCTTTACTTTCTTAACAACCTTGCCTTCACTTAAAAAAGCATATCACTATAATTATGTACAGTATATACTACTTGATACTAAACAGCTAGGTTACTGGTTTTTGTATTTACTATACTTTCATCATTAATTTAGAGTGTATTCCTACTTATTTTTTTAAGAAGAAAGTTACTATGAAACAGCCTCAGCCAAGTCCTTCAGGAAGCATTCCAGGAGAAGGCACTGTTATCATAGGAGATGAAAGGTCCATGCATATTACTGTCCCTGAAGACCTTTCCGTGAGACAAGCTGTGGGGATGGGAGACAGTGATACTGATGATCCTGACCGTGCCGGTCTAGGCTAATGTATGTGTTTGAATCTTAGTTTTTAACAAAAAGTTTAAAGTCTTTTTTTAAAAAGCTTATAGACTAAGGATATAAAGAAAATATTTTTGTAGAGCTGTACAATGCATTTGTGTTTTAAGCTAAGTGTTACTAGAAGAGTTAGAGTTAAAAAATAAAAAACTTATAAAGTAAAAAAGTTATAATAAATGTACTGCTGCAAAAAGAAATTTTAAAAATAAAATCTGTAAGCATACAGTGTTTATAATGTCTACGGGTTCTAGGCCTTCACATTCACTCACCACCCACTCACTGACTCACCCAGAGCACCTCTCAGTCCTGCAAGTCCCGTTTATGGCAAGTACCTTATACAGGCATACCATTTTTTAATGTTCTATATATTTTCACCATATCTTTTCTAGGTTTAGATACACAAATACTTACTGTTGTGTTATAACTGCCTACAGTATTCAGTACAGTAACATGGCTTACATGTTTGTGGCCTAGGAGCAATAGGCTTTACCACATAGCTTAGGTATACAGGAGGCTATGCCATCTAGGTTGTGTAAGTACACTCTATGTGTGCACAACCAAATTGCCTAACATTTCTCAGAAGGTATCCTCATCATCAAGTGACGCATGACTGTACTTCCCAAAGGCAGTAAGAACACCTGTCCTCAGTACAGTATGGTGCATTGCTCTGCCTCAAGAGGCTGACTTCCCGTCCTGGCAAACACGGTGAAACCCCGTCTCTACTAAAAAATACAAAAAACTAGCCGGGCGAGGTGGCAGGCGCCTGTAGTTCCAGCTACTCGGGAGGCTGAGGCAGGAGAATGGCGTAAACCCGGGAGGCGGAGCTTGCAGTGAGCTGAGATCCAGCCAC